CATCCATCCATCCATCCATCCATCCACCCATCCATGCATCCATCCATCCATTCACCCATCCATACTATGTTACAGTTATCCCTCCACTGGAGTCTTCAGTTCCCGCTGGACATCTTTCTGGATCAAAACACTCACTTCCTGCCTGCTCTCCTTCATCATCATCATTTCTCCCCTCAGTCTGGGGAAAGCAGCTCAGACTTTTACAGGTTGACACAAAATCGTGCCTCCGATAAGCAGTGACGTGTGTCGCAGTTCAACGTGCTTTTATTAGCTGTCCCTGATCATCTGCACATTTTACAGTGAGAAACAGGCAGAAAAGTAGCAGACTGGACTCTCACCTCTTTCGACCTCTGCCATGACAGGAAGTGCAGTGCTTGTTCCTGATACGGCCGCGGCCGTGGCAGAACGTGCAGCGCTTCTGCAGAACGAGAAGAAAAGATTAAAAAGATTCATATTCACTGCAAACTTTTCACTATGTTTGATCATTTTAAACTTAAAGGTACGATGGAGGTGTCTGAACATTCAGAGCTTCTGTTTTTATCTTAAGCAGAAAATAAGTGAGATAAAAATCAACAACCAGCAGATGTTTTTCATGTGTCATAATTCGCAGTTAAAGCTGGAAGCGATTTCTACTTGTTCTGTTAATTGAATAAAATATGAAGTGCTTTAAAAAGCGGACCTGGCCTCTGCCGAAGCAGGCGGTGCAGCGAGTTCTCCCGCAGCCTTTGCACTTGTGACACACCTGGAACACAAATTTGTGTTACTGTGATAAAACAGCAGCTCAGGAAGCTGAAAAAAGACCGAGAGGCGCAGAGCTGCACCTTCACGAACGACGCGTGCGGCACTCGGATCTTCTCCACCTTGTCGGCGTATCTCTGAGGCAGCGACACCGGGATGTCCCACGGCGCGGGGCTCATACCGTACTGAGGACCGTCCACCGTCTGACCTGTTTCACACCAGGACAACATAACTGATGAAGAGTTTTCCCGCCTCGTGTGACCGACGCTCCTCAGCCGATTGATCCTGTCATCACATTTCTCCACTTTAGATTTTAATCATCAGCTCAAGTTTGAGCTTTTCTGATGTGTTTCCCCCCTAATCAATACATCTGACAGATACAACAGGAGGTGAAACAACAAGATGAAATGATGACAAACTGAAAGTTTTCAGGTTTCTGCTGCTTTCCCACCTCGAGAACTTTTCCCAGGAACTAAGAACCGTTAGAGGAACTCTGTCTGCTTCCAGCACAGGAATCAGGATCGGGAAATTACTCCACCACCTTAAAAAATCCCTCCATGTAAGAGGAACTGCCTTTACACAGGAAGAACAGCAACTATAAAGAAACTTGGATTAGGTGAGTAGCTGCTGCTGCATTACCACCACCTACTGGACTCCAGCAGTTAGTTATACAGCCAGCAGTCACAGGGTGTCTGCATTTCGCTGGTCTCTTGCCTTTGTATCGTGACAGACGTGGATCTAATCCTGTTGTTCGTGCAGGAAACACATCGTGTGAGGAATTGTTTTTACCGTTGTAGGGCTCAAACTGCCAGGCGCTGGCTCTGGTCTCGGTGTAGGTCTCCAGTCGATACTGCAGAAAGAAAAGAAGGCAGACTGGAAACACTGGCAGCACTTCAGGTTTCCACACAGACTGACCCGTAAACTGGGTTTTAAAGAGAAACTTAAAAAGCTTTAAAATCATGTTTGCTGTGAGATGTTAAAGCTGTTGTGGATCCTGGACAGGCTTTGCTTCCTTACATCAAACTCCATTAAAGTTCAACAGCACCGACTCATTTAACATGGAACTTGTTGTTGTTCTTTATTTCCTGTTTCAGAGGCGGACGTTCAAATAATACATGATCAAAGTTTCTGATAATGAGGCTGGTTTCTGTGCAGGCACTCTCTGTGAGCCAAAAGCTCAGAGCCAGGAGTTTTTTCTACCCCTGGCTCTGTATGATGTCATCCTAATATGGTCATGTTATCTTAGGTGTCCAAGCCAGCCAATCAGGAGGAGTTGTCTTAGAAGGGAGGAGCTAAAGCAGCTTGTTTCACATAGAGGAGGACCTCAGGGTTCATGCAAAGCTGCTCTAAGCTGAGCAAATAATAAAAACATGAACCTGGAACTGAGCAGGATAGCTCGTCTTTAACCTCCTAGGACCTGGCGTCCACATATGTGGACATCACATTTTGGGTTGTCTAGACCAAAATACTAAACTTTGCTCTACAAGGGCCTGATATCCACTTACGGGGACGTTGTACTGCTGCTGTTCTATCGAAATTTAAAGCAAATGTCCTCATATGTGGATCCCATTTTTCTCAGAAACAAAAATCAGGTAAAAAAAATAAATCAAGTAATTCTTTGTTTTTACATTCATCAGGTTCCAATCAGCCCAAATAACGAAGAGAAATTAAAAGTGCCATGAAAGAGTTCAGGTCTCAGGAGATTAAACAGAAATGCATTAGGACAGCCATCCCCAACCCCCGGGCCACAGACCGGTACCGAGCCCTGACAGATTTCAGGGCTTTTATAGTTAACTCTGTTTTCCTGGGTCTTTCCCGTGTTGTAGTTGTGCGTCTTATTTTGAAAGAAATGTTTACATGTTACCATAGCAACCAGAGAGCATTATGGGGCAGAGAGG